CTTGCTGTGGGGCAGGGCCTACCAGGCAGCTGGCCGCGCGCACCGTTGCCAGCTGCGCCAGCTCCTCGCTCCAGTCCTGCCAGGAAAGAGGCCAGTGCCTGTGAGCCCACAGCCTGCCCCGTGGCACAGCCCAGACCCGCTCCCTGCATGGCCACCCCAGGACGTGCCAGGCCTGCTGTGTCTCGATCCTCCCATGGGCCTCATGCTCGCTGCTCAGGGGCTCTTTGTGCCTCCAATCCGGGTTCAGTCCCCACCTCCCCAAGGTGGCAACCCTGGGTGGGGAAGGGGCAGCCAAGCTGGGCATGGTTTCTCTATGTCCTAGCAAAATAGCTGAGCTGCTCGGCAAGCTGCGGCTGAGCTGTTCACCTCTTTGCCCTGGTGCTGTACTGCGCTGTGAATGGCTGTGTGGGGTCCCTAGGGCAGCCCCGCTGTGCCCCGCCGGGCTTGCTTGAGGGAGCCAGCAGAAGCAGTGGGCCCAAGCCTAGCTCATTGGGGTGTGAGTGCTGGGGATACGAGGGACATCAGTCTAGGATGTTACAGGAGCATCAGTGGACATCGGGGATCTCTGCAGCGATGGGTCACTGGGGGACCAACCAAGGGATGTCAAGCAACCATCAGGGGCAAGTGGGGGACATCAGAGGATCATCAGGGAACACTGGGGACCATGCAGGGGTTGCCAGGGGACTAGCCCCGCCTTCCGTGTGCGTGAGGACTGGCAGCATTTGCGGCATGCCCTCTGCAGCTGGATCTGTGCCAGGCCGCACCGGACCTTGCTCCCCAGGGCCCCACACTAGCCATGAGAGGGGGCATGGGGGAGGGGCTCTTATGCTTCATTAGCTTGCTAATTAACTGCTATTTGCTGCTGACAGGCAGATGGGGCACACCCAGGGCAGTGCTGGCTCTGGTAGGGGTCAGGTAACCAGGATGCTCACCAGCCTCTGCATGTTGGCAGCAGGTGGCTGCACTTTGCTCCTCAGCTTGTTGTGCAGGGAGAGCACCAGGAAGGTCTCCTTCATACTGAGAGCTGAGAGGGCGAGGGAGAGCAGGGGGTCAGGGCTGGGGGCTGAGTGGGGCCCTGGGGGGCCCCTGCTACGGGCAGCCCCACAGCCCCAGCCAGGCACAATGGGACCCCAGCCGTCAACCAGCCGCCAGGGATC